TCGACAAGAACCACTCTGTTCAGATTTAGGCATTTGTCATCCGTAGTTTCCAGACGTGCACTTCAACTGTTCGCAATATTTAGTTCATGTATTTACTCGGGACGCAACATTTGCTACATTAATTACAAAGAGTATTGGATACTGTTTTTTTTCTTCTCAATCGTTTATAACGTAACAGAAAAACGAAGTTCTTCGTTACTTGTTTGGAAGCAGTATGGTTAATACCGGATTCTTTTTAGTGGTACCATAGTCGCGAATTGGATCTTAATTTGGTCTTTACCGCCAAGGCTAGTGATGTGTGGTATATCACCCACCCCTCCCAAGGCCTTAATGGTGGTGTCATAATACATGATTTGAGGGTAAAATCGGATTAAATGGTGATTGAAAAGGGTTCGACGTGGTGATTTGCCTTTGCCATCCCGGCGCAAAATGCGACCTCCATGCCTAATGCGGTACTGGCACGGCCTTACAGTCCTGCCTTCACCACGCACCCCTGCTGTAGCTTGATAGGAGCTGACTGCGAGAACCGTGCACCACGCCTTCCCTAGAAGGAAAATCGTAGTAAAAATTTATGTACCCTCTTTCAGAACTTTGAAACCTTTACGGTGTACGATAGATTTCAGGTAGATCACTATCTCCTGCGAAATTCAAAACTGTGAGTCAGCAAGCTTATATTTTAATTTCAATACATTAAATATTCTTATGGGCAGTATTCCTTGCTAACGAACGTATTTTTAAACCGGAACCCCAAACCCCATCTTTTTTCTATATACTTTAGTTGAATTTAGAACGATATAGCGATGCGTGTGACTACAGTTGTTACGAGAAATGTTTGTGTCGGTATATTATAAAACTATTTCCATCGACTATCGAGCCACTGATTTTTTTTGATAATACTGCTGATGAAATAACTAATCCCACCACTCCTTTCATATCTAACATAATGAGAGCTCAAGAAAACGTTCTCAATTATTCTTTTTGCATTGCTAATTAATGAAGGGCTGATCCAATGCCGCATTTGGGGGGGGGGGGGCATGTTCTCCCTGGACCTAAATGTTGCAATACGAATCCTTAAATTTGTATGTAGCATTTTGATATTTATATGATTGTAATGTTATGTATTATAGATCTGAATTTCAAGAGGTAATTTACAATAATCAAAATGAAGCTTTTCTATAAAATAGCACTTGTACTCATACCCTCCTTCTGGGCAGTTTGTGGTTGTGAATTTGGAGTGAATTCCTTGATTGTATGATTCTAAATTTTTTATAAACTATAAACCTATTGAATAAGAGCATAGTGAAAAAAGAGAGAACACATATTTTTTACATACTAGCACTGATACCTTACGGACATGTTCTTGCTATTACTCCAGATAACAATTATTTAACAATTTATTATTGAACATGGAGTATTTACTGGCAGAGAAATTTCTTCAAACAGGAATTGTCATATTATTGCATTTATAATTTGAATATGAGTAGTTCAGAATTTTGGGCTGTTTGCTTTTTGTATTGGTTGATATCAAAAGTTTATATTCATATGAGAGTATGTATAATCCAGACAAAGCGATTTGCAAAGAATATAATGCGGAAAGTATTAGTTAACCTCTGTGAATCAAACAACATTTGCGACCATTTAGAAAATAGGTTCACATTTAGTGGGGGGTGGTTTCTACAACAGTGGCAAAAATAAATGAGGACCAGAGGGAATTGACAAAAAATTAATGACAACACATTTTTGTAGCAATTGTTAGGTATATTATAAACTTTAAAGAATATAGTAATGTTACAATTAGTAATCTGGATATATGTAATCATATTAAAATATGTTTTACTCATTTTTAAGTTATATTATTTACTCTGGGAAGTATGTGGGTAGGGGATCCCTTTTGGAATTCATTCGGGGGGGTCCTAATGTTAAGTTTTTAAGAATGGAGTAGAAATGTTAATTTTTGTGAACATTTTTCTGAACTACCCCTGTAGTTGTACTAGGTTGGGGAAAGTTTTGCACGTGAGAAATAGAACATGTACTTCAGTTTAACATTGCATTTTCTAAGTTCTTTCCCTTCAATCTTGTTTTTGTTTTTTTACTGCCCCTTGCTAATATAGCCATGATGAAATGGGTAAAAAGTCATTTGCATTAGAGAAATTTTTAAGGAGAGCTATAGTAGTCTAGTACGCCGGGTGGATGTGAACCCACTTTATTTTGTTGGCCAGTCGTCACAGGAAAGGAGTTGCAGTATTTAACCGCTCGAGTTACTTTCCGCAGAAAATACCTCTTAGGATGTCAATTGGAAGACGTCTTCAGTGCGAGTCGGACCTTCTTTCATTGACAAGACAAATTAATGTGCGAGGAGGGAGGTAGCATAAAAAAAAAAAAAAAAAATCAGACACACTTCGGGTCAAAGTCTTGCGAAAATTGACACAACCCGCTTTTGTAATGTGTAGGTTTGTTTGTGACATGGGTAGTTCTATAAGGAGAGCCTCAGAATTTTACATTATTTTCTTTATACGAACTCCTTTCACAACTACTCAAACCACGCGTAAAACAGTCGCGTTAGTAGTCGACTCGCAGGGCACGGCCTTGTGCGTCAGTGGCTTGCTGCTGCATTACTGTCAATCACAGCAGTGGGCGGGGCTTCGCTCGTCCATATGAGACAATTAGAAGCGCGGCGCGGGGGACCCGGGAAGCTTGACTTGCGTTGTTTTGTCGGCACATTGGCCGGAAGGGGGGTCAGTCTATAACTACGTGGGGTATCCTCCACGAAAGTGCGCTGAAGTGTATAATGCTGTCTGCGTAATTATAGATGTCCCCAGAAACTGTTACGAGGATTTGCAAAATACGTCTTTTACTATTTACACTTCAGTGTAAATTTTGTGTAAATCTGCAATGTAATGTGTATGCGAGCCCGGTACTAGTTCAACTGGCTCATTCAGATGAGTGGCCAAATCTGTCTGCGTATTGTCCGAAAGATGCGTTGTGTTCTGTAAATATCCAGCGGACAAGTTACAGCCTGCTCAGAAAGTAATTTCGAAACCAAAACGCCTCGTCGCCTACGACAACCATGACAGGCTCTTTCGATTGCTTTCCCTTATCACTCGGGTTCGGCCTGTGAGACGTTTTTAAACAGTGAAGTAGTACGGGAAAGTGGGTGGCGTGAAATCTTAACCTCATGCCCCTTTAATATGCTCCATCTACCTTTACGCGCTGGTAGAGAGCCAACGAAGAAATCTAGCTGTAAATCTCCACTCCAAACGTCTACCACACGGATAAAATATTATATTTAAGGTTCAAATTGTGATAAAGCATTTTGTCTCATTGTCATTAATATCGTTGGCGATGTTCAACTTTTCAAGCGGGTGCCGACATTTCAGAACTGTATGAACAAGGAAGAAGACTAGTATCCTCACGGCTTTTCCCCCCTATCTGGTCGAATGCTAAACCATAATTTAAAAAAATGAAATCTACTTCTGGTTAATTTACAATACGCTCACGAGCTGTCATTCTTGATTCTATGATAACAGAGCCTGAATTTGAACGACTAAATAAATAAATAAATGTGTGCCGATGCGATGGTTGATTAGCGCTCGCATTTGGATTCTATAACAACCTTCAATACAACACATATATTAAAAACAAAAAGGCTTTAGAAAAAGAGTGGCTTTACCAAATCAACTCATTTCATTAATAACTATTATTATTTAACTTTATTATATTAAATTATAATACCAGAAACGCAGAACTTTCTCTTTTCTTAGACAAGTTAAATTTTCTTTCACATTTCGCAGATAATTTAAATTTTAATATCAGGGTGACTTACAGAAAGTACAGGAAAACTTGGAAATAGGGTTTGAAAGCGGCTGCAGGACGGCGGGTCCTGCAGAATTGACATACGAATAAATCTGTGCTCCTAAAATAATATTAGCACTAAACCTGGGAAAAATAAAGAATTTTGTAACATAATCTTGTGATTTTAAGGAAATGTTTGAGATAATTATACAATTAGATATTTCTTTAAAAATCATAGTGTTACTGTTCGCACCCTTTTTATTTGTTAAGCAAGTATTAGTTTTGTGCCTTTCTGTACGAAATAAGCCATAAGAAACAGGTACCCAAGGCTTGTCTTAACTTAACAATTTTCTTTAAATTGTGTGAAATACAATAAAAATATTATCGGAAGGGGGGAAAAATGCAAGAAGAAGTTCTGGAAGAACAGGAAAAGTTAGTTCAAGAGGTCACCGTGAAAATCTCTATTCTGAAGATGCATTTCGTTTACCATTCACCTTATGCTAATTTGCTAATAAAAACGAAAGTTGTTTCCGCGAATTTCCTCTATGCGCCACCGACCACATATATTTAGTATGCTTCAGGATGCGAACGGCCAACGACATATGACGTGCGGCGTGGTAACCGGGAGACCGTACTTCCGCACTCTGTCCCCATCGTGTTCATGGTATTTGCAGAACAATACGGATAAGTAGCGGCGAGTTATGAATATTGGCGGGGAAAGCAGTGGCGTGGAAAACGGGATGGCCCATCAAAACCTTTCGAAAGTCCGTCGTGACCGTACCAAATTCCTCAGAGAGTGACCGGTATCTTCCCAGATCTTTCGAGAAAGGAATGCGGGTGATTGAAGCTCTTTCAAAGGGTCTATGCTGGCTGGCGCAGGTAGTTTTGCGACTTCCTTTGTAAAGACTCTGTTGGCATCTTTATTTTACCTTTAAAAAATTGAACAACTTATATTCCACTAGAACATTTATTAGGGAATCAAGCTATCAAAGGATATTTATTTTATTCTGTTGTGTTCTTAGAAATTCAATAGTTAACTTTAGAAAAACGTAGTTAACTTCTAAATCCCGTTAAACTTAGGAAAGAAGATACTTATTCTAAACTACGATCCCCTTTCAACGTTTCCTGTACGCACAATAAAATAATTGATGAGTGGGCTTTCAATGGAGTGCTGTGCGCGATGGCCAGCCGTGCGCCCAAGCCCAAGAATGCGGAAGGGAAGCGTTTTGAGGTGATCGGAAGAAACCCGCACGAGGTGCCACAGCTTTTGCAAATCCCTTAGAAGCGGTGGCCTCATATTTTTTTCACTTTTCGCTCCCCGTCGAAAGTGCCGGTGGCGGGAAACGGAATCAGGGCCGCGCTGGATGCGCGCTTCGTCACGCTTATCCTAGTGGAACCGGGGCCTAGCGTTGGCAGCGTGGCTCAATCACGCGGGGAGCGTCGGCGAGTGCAAGCGCACGCGGGCTCGCCGCGGCGGCCTGCACAGATTTGGACTCCCGCAGTAGGAGGGGCCCCGCCCGCTCGAGCTGCTCTTCGCCGGGCGCGGACCAACGCAGCTAACAGACGCCGGGAATGCACCCGGCCACATTTCCTGGACGGCCTCGTGCGCTGGCAAGATTCGCAACCGCCCAAACGCAAAGAATCTTATCAGTTCGAGGAATTGTTCCCTCCCACCTCGCGCAGGATGAACCCGTCATAAATTCCGGAACATGATTAAATATATATATATATGTACTAATAAAACCAAAAATATTGGAAATGATATTTTATTCACATATGTGGAATACCAACATATCACCAATAACCATTATTGTGTTTATCACTAGTTTACAGGAAACAATTTAAAGAGACTCTTGTTCCTGAAAAGTTTGGTTTTTTTGCTAAATACTTGGAATTTATCTTGAAAATAAAGACCAATAATTTAAGTGTGTTTCTTACGAAATGTTAAACACAGGAAAGTATATTATGGGTGATGAGAAAATATTACTTGTCTTATCCATACCATGCCAAAATGTTTTGATTGTGAACATGAGTCCTCTTCATTATAATATTATTTTCATGTATTATATATTTATGTTTGTAGTATACATTCCAATGAACTTTAAAAATCTTTTTCACTTGCATCACAATTACCGAGAATTCTTCATAATGAGATTTCAATGGTATTCCAGAATGCAATTCATTAAATATTACTACAAATTATTGTATATTATTATAATTAATTAAATATATGTGAAATAAAAGCTATTGTTTTTAAAGAGGTAACTGAATATTGAACATTATAATAATTTTGTTTTAATTGAGGAAATCGTATTAGATTCTCTCCTCTTACCAAAAACTTTGACCCAGATGCTGGTTTATGATTTAGTTGATATATTTTATTTCATGATTTACATAAAATATTTGTGTTATAATGTGATTGTTTGAACAGAATCATAAATTTGGAAATTATGAAAGGATCCTTATTTATTGAATGAAGATTATTTTTAAAGTTCCAACCTGACTACTTGTGCTCTGATTTGTTGTATGTCTTAATTTTGATGTTTAAAATTGTAATTAAAACTTTCTGAAATTTAAGAGTAATTTCAAAAACCTCTAAAATGTCAGTCTGTATATTTTTCTTTTTGCAAACAGAGAATTTGGGTGTTTCATTCTTGTGAAATAAAAATGTATTTACATTAAGGACTATTTGCTGAAATTCATCTCAACATATAGAGAGAAAAAATGAATTAATTTATAATGAAAAAATGAACTCACCTTAATAAAGATTAGATTAAAAATAGACTTTAAAAAAGAATTACAGAATTTATTGTGGCGAGTTCATTTGTACCTGGTACATATTTATTATAATACTTTCAATTTGTTTTTCTATAATTTAAAAGTTAGAAAATTTAATTTTGTGTATTCAATTTGTTTATATTTCAATTAGACTCCCAAAGAAGAAAAGTGCTCCTCAAAATGTTGAGAAAAGTAAATAGTTGAAAAATTAAGAAAACATATGAAATATGTAAAAAAAACTCCAAAAATGAACATAGCAATATAATAATATTTTAAATCTACATTTATTTTTGATTAATTTGTTTATGGTTTTCGATATGTATATAACTGTCTAAAATAAATATGAACAGAAAAATCTAAAGAACATTTTTAAATTTACCTGTTTGTTACGAACAGACATCTTGTTAGCTCACACTGTTGGAACATTAATGTTTGGGAATGGAAGCTGGAGTTATTATTTTATAGATTATTTCCCCCCCTCATATAAAGCCTTTGTAAAAAATTATACTAGGGATAGCCTTCTAGTTCACAAAAACTTTCATTCCTTTAACCCGTATTATCTAAAATAAATGTAGTGCATTCATATGATATGAATGTTAAGCAGTGTTTTGAACTATGATGCCTTTATTGTGTTTATGATTGCGTCTGGTTGGTATGGAACAATTATGTAGATGCCAATGATTTCATAATTTTCAAAATAGTTTTGTATTGTAAGTTCCAATATTTTATATTGGATTTCCAGAAATTATTTTAAATGATTTAGACCATATCTGTTCCTTCATTTTTGTATGATCATGTTGTGCTAAAATGTATTGTTCCCATAAAATAAAAAGTCAAATTGAAAACAACAATTAAAAACTTAATTTAAAAAATGATATATTTTTTTCATTTTATGTCAGGAAGGAGATAACACTCGAGAAGAGTTTTGCCTCTATTGCTCATTTGCCAATATTTATTCACAGTTGTATCTCATATAATTGTGCATAAAAGGTTTTTGTTTTGTGTATACCTGTAAAATTATCATGTTTCGACTTTAATTCTAATTAAATGTTTATTATTTTAGATCTGATGGGACAGAGTCCCCAATACTTGAAGAGGCTGATTCAAGTGTTGCGGCAGAGCAACGCAAACCAGCAGTAAAATATGGTGAACTGGTTATTTTAGGGTATGTTTTTGAAAATCATATAAAATTACTGTTAATGGAAATATAGATCTTGAATACTTCTTTCATAAAATTATGCAAGTTGTTTGGTTTTACTTTTGAGTTTGGTGTCTATTTCTTGAATGTGCCTTAATATAATGGTAAAAAGTTTACTTTGTAATTTTAGTTATATAACAAGAAGCTGTTTAAAGTTTATTATATTTTGTTGTAATAAATTACAATAAGTAGCTTGAGAGTTTCTGTAGTATTGTATTTAGTAAATGAAATTATAAATCTCTATTATTTACCAAAAAGTTATTTTTATAATTGGCACCTTGTTGGACGCAGTTGTGGTCAGAGAGTATGTTCCGCAGTCGTAACGAAATTCAAATTGTGATCATATTACTGAGTAAAAGTTATTTTTTTTATAATATGTATGATACAATCACTTAAACTAGGTGTTACAGACACTGTATGTGTATGTGAGCAAGCTAGCATATGTGTATGTATGTGTTCGCATGTGTGTGTGCATGTATGCAAGTGTACGCGCATGCTGTGTGTGTGTGTGTGTGTCTGGCTGTGTGTGTTTCTGTGACAGAGAATGAGTGGATGGCTGACTGAATAGAATGATCCTTTCAATTTATGGTAATATTAACATGACAGAGGTTGTACTATTTGAATGTTTTGAAAATAATTGTAGTTCTTTTTTTTGGAGATGAAATTTTATTTTCTTCTGTTTCTATTTTGTTTTCTTAGATACAACGGCTTCCTTCCTCCTGGTGATCGAGGACGAAGAAGAAGTAAATTTGTATTATATCAAAGACCGACACCAAGCGGGGTGAAACGTTCGAAACATTATGTTGTGAAAACTCCTCATTCCTCACAAGTGGGTATTTTATGAAATCCAACAATTACATGATAGATTTTCTTCAGTGTGAGAAAATAAGATGTAAAATAATGAATAAATTTAAGTGAAGTAAAAATATACTTTGCAAAACTTTGATGATATTCATATATTATCGTCACACTTGTTTAAAAAATACATGGAACCCATTGTCCTCTGTTTTTATATTATATAATGAATCTTGGTGAAAATATACAAAAAATTTGAATTTGTCTGTCAACATCCTCCGCACTTCTGCTGGTCTCTTCAGGAAACCCATAAGTTCGTAAAATAATTGAAAAGTGAGAAAACTCAAATGTCTAATTTGTATTAAAGCACTCATAAAAATTATGCTTAATTGTCATTATGACATTTCCCTCTTCAAAACACTGTAATAGGAAGTAGAAGCCAATTTACATGTAAATAAACTTGAACACAGGAGATAAACTAATTTGATTATTAATGCAATAATTTGCAATTTATTACTGAATAAAAATGAAATTACTTGCAAATAATACACAAACATTTAAAATAATGCAAATTTTGAAAAAAATTCTAGCATCTTCAGTCTAGCAAATTCAAGGTAACGCATTGTTTGTAACACAACAATATAAAAAGACAAAGAATGGAGGTGGCAGAGGCACAGTACATACCTTTTCTGGCTTTGGGTTCAAAATCAAATGGACTGAAGATGCCTCAAACACTCTCTCAATAAACCCTGAATGCTATCTGGTATCCTCAAAAACCCCAAAGTGTATTGAAGAACCTGGAAACAATTCGAATCTTGAAACTTATTGTTGGCAAACTTTAAACATGCTAAGTGGGATTGTCAAATGTGTAATAAAAGTTTTAAAAGAATAGACCGAGTCTTCAAAAATGCCCCATACCCAAATTCCCACACAATATGTGGAAAAACATATTAAGTTGGAACCTGCAAATAAGATTCCTCTGTATTTCTTCCATTTCCTGAAATCAGTTAATCACACAGCTCCCATAACTTCACTGGACCAAATGTGATTATGTTAAATTCTTATTAATAAATTAGTTATTTTTACAACTAACCTTTCAAAAACAAACTTCTAAGCCTTTTCCTTATTAAGCATTTTGATTTCAACATTGACACTAAAAAGTTAAATAGGGCATTGTGTACATTAGTTATTTCTGAATTTGATTTTGAAATTGTTTGAAAAATATAATATTTAAAACATCCAAAGAGTATTTAGAAAATGTGTAGAGAATGAATAAGAAAATCTGTGTGAAATGAAACAGAAAATGCTTGTATTTCTCATTGTCTGCTTAAAGTATAGAAGTGTTATGGAAATTTTAATTTGGAATTTTTGCTTTAGAATAAAATGTATTTTATTCTAAATACTGATGAAATGTTAGGTAAATAATAAATTATTAATTTTTTAGGCTATCTTGGATTCAAAACAACATTCAATCTCCTACACATTATCCAGAAATCAGGCTGTTATTGTGGAATACATGTTAGATCAAGAAACAGACATGTTTCAGGTAAGCATATTTATGTGGTTTCAAGGGCTTCCTCTATGAATTACAGCTACAAATTACTTTTGTCAGTTTGAAATAAATATTTGGCCATGCTGACTCTTCTGTGCTTGCTTTGCCTAGTCAAAAAAAGCTTTAGAGCTTTTAAAAAAGTATACTAATTAGAATTTGACTAGAGATTGTTGTATTATAAACATTTTTTTGGTCATTTTCTTCAAAGAGCAAATATAAATAAATGGAATTGTATTGAATTGGTCTTGAAACAAGAATTCAAATTGTTTTAATTAAATTTGTTGTTTTGCTCAGTCTTCTTGTGCAATTTCACTTACTTTTTACTGATAACATATTTTCCCAAATATCCTTTAATGCTCAGTGTCAACGAAGTTGCATGTTTGGTAAACTTTATTTCTTGAGTGAAAAATCAAATTTTAAAATCCATCAAAGGAAAAATTGTCATTTGTTACAAATTTATGCTTTGTTTTCTACATGATTAAGCTGGTAGCAAAGGAAGATGTTTTCTGTTATGTTATGTAAAAAATTCCATATTCTAAGAGGTTTAGATTTCCGTGAAAGTTAATATAATATTAATAATAAAATAAAATAAAAATAACATAAATAATATATTAATATAAATAATGTGTTCTGCAGTTAATTATTTTTAATGAGTTCACAATGTTGGTATTAATATTTGGAATGTAATAAAATGAAACAAAATGTTTTAGTAATAGTATTAATAATGATGGTGATGATGATAAATATAATAATAATAATAGTAGTAATAACACCAACCACAACAGAAACCTGTTTTTATTTTTTGTTTGTTTTAATTGTTGTTAATATCTTTAAGACATGGTGAGCATTTTCTTTCATACATACTGTTAGTAACATTTCTTTTTGTTTGATATGGGTTAGGAAACATCATTCTTTTCATCCATTTCTTTTTCATTTTCAATTAGTTAACTTTTCTAGGAAACATGGATAGAACATTAATATAGTGCGGCAGGACACGTTTGGTTTGTGCCTTTTTGTTCTAAGCACCATGAACTATGGGTGGATGGTGCATACATGAATGAAATTGTCATTGACGAAGAAACAGTAGCACAGCATATATCATAAAAAAAAATAGTAATGTTTTCAAAATGGTGCATACTTGCTTGTAACTATGGAGCTGCCTTACATTAGTTTGGTATTTCAAGATCCACAATTTCTGTTCAGTAGTAAATCATACCATATAGAATGTGATAAAAGTTAATGGTTATTTTATTATTTCCAGATCGGCCGATCTTCAGAATCTCCTATAGACTTTGTTGTGATGGACACCATTCCTGGTGATAAAAGTGGTGATAATAAAGTTCTCCAAAGTACAATCTCACGATTTGCTTGTCGAATACTTGCAGATCGCTCTAATCCTAAAGTTGCTCGCATTTATGCTGCTGGCTTCGATTCATCTCGAAATATATTTTTAGGGGTGAGTGTACATTACTCCAAGTATGTGATATTTATAGTACTAAGGCATCTACATTAATATTAGCAAAAGTAATAACACTGAAAAACATCAATCAATTCCTTGGAACTTAATCAGGCTTTTTGAGGACATATTCTCCCTGTCTGTAAATGCTGAGCAATCATGTTGTATAAAAAATAATGGAAGTTAAAAAAAAGATCGTATGAATATTGAATTATTTTACTTATCGATTAAAATTTACCTGAAATAGAAGTTTAGTACCCTAAAATAGAAGTTCAAGTCCATCTACCACTTCTCAAGTGTTAAAGACAAAATAGTGACACAAATCACAGAAACGGCAAACATTAAAACGGGAAATTTTAATTTTGAAAGTGTAAATGTGGGAACAATTTTGCATTGTGAATATTAGGGACACGTTAAAAAGGATGTAAATAGCGGGAAAACCTTAATTCAGGTTAAGTGGGATTTTATTGTACCACATTTATTCACAAATTCTTTTTGCAAAGTTTAGGTACAAAATGTGTCTTGAAAGGGGGTGGGTAAGTAATCTGTAATAAAAAAAATAAACTTAACATTTTAAACATAAACTTATGTCTTTCTCTGTATTCTTTCTTGCCAACTTAAGGCTCTCAAGTGAGAAATAGACTAATAATAAATTGCAATTTTTGAATATAGTTTGACAGAAGTGGGACTAGCCATGATTATTTTACCATTCTTAGATACATAGGAGAAAAATTGAAGGAAAAATGTGAAGAGTTTTTTGAGAAAATAATTGTTTAAAAATTGCCTTTATTTTATTTAAAATTATGCAAAAATACTACATATTAAGAATTATGGAAAAATGATACTCATATTTCCGAAAAATTGTACATGTCCTTATTTCAAGATCTGTCAAAACAAAACTGACACCTGTGTCATTCTTATAAGCATCTTTTAAACAATCCCAGGCCAAAGTTTAATCATAAAATGTGGAGCCATTTTTGAGAAAATTTTGAAAAAGTTGTTGAGGCTTCATGTAAAGTATCTCTAAAAAATGAAGATACAGTCGACACTGGTTATAGTGAATTTCTGGTGACTAAAACATGTTTGGTTCACTTCATCAAATGATGGGATAAGTAAATGTAATTTCTGCACAATGATTGATTTTATTAATATAGAGATACAGCAAAATACATAAACAGCACAAACTGAAAATTTCAATATCATTATTAGTCCGTAAAATATTAATTTTTTTCAATTGTTTGGTTCATACATTTTTCGTTTGTAATTTCTGTAGATTCTTCTCCAGATTTTGTGCTCTCTCCATTGTTCAGTATCGTAATACAATCTTGACACTCTTTAATGCTTCTTGTACTGTTGGAAGTCTCACTACAATCTTTTCGGTAGCGGGATGCCACAACCGCTATTGAAACAGATTGCTTTTCTGCACGTCACTGTGAGTATTGTCAGTCTGTGGGACTGTGGCAGTCGCACACTTCCTGTTGCCTATGTAGATCACAATGAGCTTTGCCCAGCAGAATATCAAGTAACATCAAGCTTGAAACTGACACAAGTAATCGAATATCGCTGCTTCCAGATGTGACAGTGGCATGAGTTCGTCAGTAAGGACCCCATTTCAAGTGTGCTACCTTCACCACACTAGAGACTTCTTTGATTATGACCTAAGGCTGATGAAATTTTGTTTCAAGCTGCCTAGTGTTGGAATTTGTGGCACTGAGATGATATGTTCTTTTCCTGGAGGGAATTAATTTCAAAGTCGTATTTCCTACATCCTAGTCACTAACCGAGGATCAAGTTCACTATAACTGAATCTTCTTTATTTGTAATATAAGTGAAATGGAACTAGTGACGTAATTGCACTATAACAGAGGGTTCACTATAACCGGAGTTGATTATCAAATAAACTTGCCCAATGGTCAACCAAAAACAACCTTCCCTTAAATACTAAAAAAAATGTACATTTATAAGTTTCTCTAGATCTAAATTGATCCACTTTTTGTAGTATCCAAGATATTAAAGTTGAAAGCGTGAATAGCATCAAAGACCTGGGAGTAATTATTGATTCGGAGATGACATTTATCCATCACATTGATTACATACCTGGCAAAGCAAATAAACTATTTTTTTTATCCCAACCATTAACTCATTTAAAACAATACACACACTTAGAATTCTGTATATTATGTTTGTTACGTCAATACTTACGTATTCATCAGTAGTGTGACCACCATTCTTTCAAACACTCGTTAAAAATACTAGAAAGTGTTCAACACAGATTTTTTAGAATAGCAGCAAGACATTTTGGTCTCAAAGACCCATTTATACATCATGACTATGGTCAAATCTCTGCTGTCTTAAATTTGCCGTCACTCAAGTTTTCGAGAGATCTCTCAGATGCATGTTTTTTATATAAGTTGATAAATGATTAAATAGACTGCCCTTGCAGCAAGAACAATAGAATTTTAAAGTTCATACTTCATCACTTTCAGAATTGATCAATACAAATTATCCTATACAGCAAATAATCCCATCAACAGACTATGTACAACAATGAATGAACTTCCTGTTGATGTAAATCGTGTCTCCTTGCAGCTTTGCGACCAAAGCTAAAGCAATGCTATTGTACTATGATCAATGTGAGTGTTGTTACAGAATGTGTAAATCATTTCTCTGTTAATTCATGTATAAATTGTAAATTGAGAACTTAGTCTGTTTATAAATAAATAAATAAATAAATAAATAAATAAATAAATAAATAAAGTCTCAAACTTGCAAGGCCTTGAGTTCCTTTAAATTGATTTAGGAATATCAATTTTGGAGAAAATCTGCTGAATCGTGTAGGTGCTGGTGTTGGCGATGGATGAACGGATAGATTTGGCGTCTGTCGTTTTATCAGTATCGAGGACCCACAAACCTGAATTTTAACTACATGTATTAGAGGAAGTAATTTACTATATATAAGCGCAAGATTTATCCACTTTTTCATTACCATGATTTGGCAATGGTGTTTTTTCTGTTGAAAATTTATTGTTTTCCATCACACAATTTGAATAGTTTCTCCTCTTAATAAGTAAGGAAGGGGAAGTGAAAACGAAACATTAGCAGTAGTAGTAAACAAAAGGTGTCTGTAAGAAAATAAGTGGAAGAATTCGTCTTGGTGCAATGTTTGTAATTTTTATAAATCCGTTTATTATTTGACAAATTGTTTTCATCTACAAATGCAAAGTTACGGGAAGCTTGTACTGTGCAGGAAGAAAAAAGATTTTTAGAAAATTTCAGGAAATTAGCATACATAGTCTTTCCATTTTCTGCACACTTTGAAATACCAATTGCTTGTAATTTCCTTATTTTAATATATATTTAAATTTATATATTAGGTAGTATTTTGATTCTAGTATTGTATACTGGATTAGTACTTCTAGGGAAATTATCTATTACTAATTGTTCAACCAAATGTTTGATTTACTGTATAAAGTATGTTTCAGCCTTCACATTGAAATAGATTTGATGCTTTCTTTTTTTTTGTTACCTCCAGATGTTTTCTGTATTACATGATGAGCTTTGTTATGTGGGTTAGTAATTTTGGATATGGAAGAAAGCCCCGTGAAGATGGGGTGAAGAACCTTGAAATTGATTGATGCTATTTTATTTTTACTCAGTATAATTTGTATCAACTTATTTATTTTTACTTGTCTTATCACTTTCTCTTTTAAAACTTTCTTGTTTCTCTTCAAGAAAGCAACAATAGCCAAGTAACTTGAAGGACTCCATATTTCTGAGAGCGCTTGAAGTCAACTGATTCTATCTCCTTTCCTGTTCCTTTTAGGGAACAAAATAATAGATATCTTTGAATATTTGTATTATGTGAATTTGCCTGCCCTTCATTGAATATCAATGATTTTTTTTTATTATACTCAATATTACCATACAATTAATTTCTTAATCTATTTAAAAAAAACAAACAAACAAAAACAAAAAACAAAAAAAAAACAAAAAAAAACACCACCCCAACAACAACAGTAATTACTTTAGATATTAATTCTTTTCAATATCTTGAAATGATGCTGTGGACTTCCTTATGTTTCCCTCTCTTCTGTTCTTAACTCTTGTGTAATATTTGTTTTATCATAATTATAATTTCTAATAAACAGTTATATTTTAATAAATCTTTGTTGAACACTTTTAACTAGGTTAATTTTTCCAATTACAATTAAAAAATTGTTCAGCCACCTCAGAATTGGTTAAAAATAACTTTTTTATTTTAATGAAGTAATAAGCAAAATTAACAATTGTTCTACATTAATAATTATCTGAAGTAAAATAATAAAATGGTATATTGTAGTAACTATTGTGTGATGTTTTAAAACTAGACTATTGCAACAGTATTGAGGTTAATAATCTCCTTGAAGTTTGTACAACCTTAATGAATAAATTAAGAATTAACTAAGTAAATAAAAATTCTTACAAAGAAAACAAAAGAGAATGCTTTCAGAAGTAAATTTCTTCTGGTAAAAACATTTTTTGTCATATTTGGTCAAAGATGGTTAAATTTACTACAAAAGTGCTTTTTACAATATTCTGTGAATATGAGCTCAGCAAGAATTCTGAATTTGAAGGTTAATTTGTATCCTTACTCAATGTGCAATACAATTTTCTTATTTTTGTAAGTTGTGTTTGCATTTTGTATTTTGACATGGAACTGTGTGCTGTGTTGATTGTTGAAGATTTGTTTAGTTAATTAGTTAGTTATATAGGAATTTGTTTGCTCTTCTGTAGTCCACTATTTGATGTAATAAACTGCTGGTTGAAGGGTACATTCTCAATATGTTCTGCTTAATTGACATTAGAAGTCCGTTCTGAAATTTGGAGTTTCTTTCCCTATTTAATTATTTTTCTTGATATTTATTATGGAAGTAGGCTTGTGAATTTTGAATTGCACATTTTCGTGTGTGCATGTAATGTTTGTGTCTATGTAAATGTCTAGTTGCACCCTTGATGTCACGATTTCAGTTATCTCACTTTATCAGAATTAATTTTTCAATGATATAGAAATAATCATTGGGAGGACTCCAGCTTAAATAATGATAATGAGGTTGTTATGATTTCTCAGCTATCAAAATCAGGCTGACTGCTCTACATACAGATACTTAGTTCACATAAATTCCAGAATTTTGTTGCTTATTAAATCAACTTGAAATCGATTTACCTAATATTTATATTACGTGATATTCTACCTTTATCTTTCTGTATTAGAGGTTGGGCTGCATAGCATAATAGTAGTTGTAATAAAATGATCATTTGGGCATGGTTGTATTCTATTTGTCCATGTATTTTTAATACCACGTAGATGTATTTAAAGAATCTTTGTAGATACTGTAGAAGTGAAATGGTGATTCAGTGAGATTTTTTGCATTTTTGGATTTTTTGGCAAGAAATAGGCTTTTTTGTGTTTTTGTAATCCATACCCTCAGGGTTCCCTGATAGAGTACCATAAATCTTTTATGTAGTAGTTCTACAAATAACACTTCCTCTGAAGTGCACAACCATCACCTTTCTAAATATGAAGACCTTGAATAGTTTTAGGCTATCTTGTTCTGTCATTTTGGTAGGGGGGTTTACATTGCATGCCCATAGATGTATGAAAGAGATTTGGAACTGATATTGTATCCATGGTATTTCCTGTATCTGTTGGAAAAATCTAGAGCGAAGAATTATCATCTAGTGTAAACTGTAGAAATCATGTTTAGTTGTATTAATCATTGACACTACAAATTAATTGTTTTTAGTTTTCGGTGTTATAAAGCCAATGGATTCTGGACAGTATTGAAGATCAAGAAGAGAGATGAACTATTGGATATTAATTTGAACAATAAATGACTGATGCTTAAATTTATGGGATAAAGTTTGAACCTGAGATCAGTTTTGGATATTTGTATGAGAAGAGAAAAAAAATTCTCCTTGAAAAATTACTATATAGTTATTAACACTTTTTGGATTGAGAGGTTAATTTATTTTTGTTACACTTTCTGTAAAATATTTGAAGTTGTTGCAAAATCCATACAAATCTCCATACATATTAAATAAGAAAGTCTGTATTTCTGCTCCGTTTTGGCAGCACTAATGTGGTTCAGTGAAAACCCATTGACCAGATGTATGGGATTACACATGCTTAAAATTGAACAGAAAGAGGCATAGTGGGGAAGTCATAGGAGAGCATTTAGTAAAGATTTGAAATCCAGTTTTTTCTCTGAAATTCCAGGAGAAGATTTTGGAGGAAATGGAAAAAGTTGTGAAATGTATGTGATATTACATTACTGTAATGAATTGGAGATGATCATTTTGGTAGAGCAACCGGGAATATGATTGTGCTGCATGTAGTTCGATTTACTTCATAGTTTAAAAAAGGAACCAAAGAAACAATCTTGCAGAAAAGTTTACAGCATGGAATTTTTTATAGCAGAGCATAATATTATTCTGCGCATGTTGTCACTGACGCTGCCACTCGTAGATGATAAAGATGTACACTTTAGTTTTTTTAAAATTTAGAAACTATGTATTATGAAATATTGGGTGCTTGTGGGTAAAGAAACTCGTATTTTTAAAGTAATACTTTTCTACATATTTGGGTTAAAAGTTATTAGCTTTTCCAAGAATGGAAGTCATTCATGTAATATTGACATTTATCAGTGTAATTAATAATCATCCTTTGTTTATTTTTGTGTATTGTTAACCAAAGCCTTCCAGTATTGATTTTTTCACAAATTAAGTGTTTATTTAAATGCCTCTGATATTTTTGCTTTCAAGGATTTTTTTTTGTAAGTCCCGTATGTTTTGCATTATTAATTATGTTCACATTTATACCACTGAATATCCAGCAATTACAACTTAATTCCAACTTTTCATTCTACTCACTCTGGTATTTAGAAAACAACATTCCTAAAAACATTTTTTTGTATGCCTACATTTTACATAAGCAAATATGTTAACAAGTGGACAATGGGACAGAATGACTTGGCAGGCTTCAGATATCAATTTTATCAATGTTAACCAATATGCTCATTGTACAATTGTACAAATACATTGATTGCACACCTCAAAAAGCCCTAACACAATGATTTTTGTCCAATTACTTACAAATTTTTAAAACAAACTCTAAAAACTGCTACTTTTGAAACATTATCTGCATGACATATAATATATAGATATATATATATATATATATATATATTTATATATATTTATATTTATATATATTTATATTTATATTTATATATATTTATATATATTTTTATCCTAATTACATATTGTTGTCAAAGTTTTAGGAAATCCATGCAAGCATTGGATGCGTGTGAAAGTTTTACACATTTAATTTTATCCCCTAGGCAAAAATGAGTGTCTATGACTTCTCTGTGGCGTGTCAAACATACCTAGATTTGTCTGGCATCAACAGAGTAAATCCTTGTGTTCTTATTGCCTTCACATCTCTGAAACCTCCAACAACTATGAACATGTCAACTTCATTTAAATGGAATTTTAAAGCATTTGAACATTATATGTGAAATCAAAAAATTATCTGGTTACATTAAAGCATCAATGATTCTGACATCAAAGTTCTGCACTACCAATAATCAAAATTTGATTTTGTCAAAACATAAGTCTCGTGAAGTGAATATGGTATGTATGTACATATTTAAAAGCACCAACATGACTTAGTACTTTTATTAAAACTATTGATCGCAGAAAATTATATAGTACATATATATATATAAAAGGAGTCTTACCAATGCCTTGCCTACTTATTCACAAATCTGTAGTTTTTGTCAAAACTGACGACTAATCGTGGGAACACATATATTCAAGCAATACTGATGGTTATAATCACAATACACATTGAAATTGCATTTATCAGGTGTCAGTTTCAATAGTTTACTACAAGAAATCCACTTATAATACATTGCTGTAAAACACATTGTCAGATGACAATAAACAATTCAAATGGTTACACAAGTTTAAGTTCAGTGTAAAATCTCTTGTGCTGCTTTACTGTTTCTATACAGTTAGAGAACATGCTGTCCATCAGAAAGAAATATATTTATATTGGAAATTCTATGTAGTACATTAGTTTACATTTTTATTGTATAATTTTAAAAATACTTAATATGCCTATAACAAGTAATGTACTTCAGTTTCTGGGTCAATCCCCATGACATTCGGATTTTTGTCTAGTTTCCCTGACTTGGTGAGCAAAATGCTGAAATGGCAAGGAAGTCTTTTACTAGTTTTGGTAGTAGTAGAGCCAGGGGTAGATAGGTAGCCAGGTTATTATTTTGTTAAGAGTAGCAAAAACTTAAAACTAGTTAGTTTACCGATGCAAAGTTTTCTTTAAATCAGGAGCTCTAGCTTTGGAATGTTGCTAAATGTGCCTTGTTGGTACTTTCATTCATCTTTCACCTATTTATGTTGAAACAGTAGAGAAGAGATTCTGGCGCTCAAGAAAAAGTGCGTCAATTGCACTTCTCCCATATGCATTACATAGATTTTAGTGTTCTTTGACGAAACCAAATCAAATAAAATTAAATTTTCTTAGGAATGTATGAGAACAAGGGGCACATTCAAAAACCCTAGTGTAATATTTATCCAGTCCACTTCAGTAACCATCAAAGTCAATTATGAATCATTTTAGTTAATTTTTTGTGTTAATGATGGCTACTGGACATTTATCATGACAATCTGGGTATGAACATCTGTGCGATTTGAAAATCTGGAAAGGGTCCGGCCCCATTTAATCGGTATCAACTTTGTACTGTTTCTATTTTATGGGTTCGTAGTCTTCCACAGCCGGAGTTAATGCATTCTTGGCTATATCTTGCTCACAGCAGTATAGCTCTGAAGAAGGCCACTGCGAGATGGCCGAAATGTCAGCACAATTGACTGAGATGCGGCTCATCCCGGATAGCCAAGAATGCACCGTTTCTATTTTTCCATGCAGAATCTGAATCTTCAAATTAGAAAGGGGGTTTTGTTCAAAATTTCAAATGTTTTGGTTTTAAACCATAGGTTGTTTGTTTTGAGGTATGCAATCAAATGGCAATAGCAAAAAAAATTGAATCTCCTGTTGCTGCCACATCATTCCTTTCTCACTATCCGCTTTTGGTAAGGGTGAATTTAATTTGTTAATTGTGGTCTGAACTCTGACCATTTTACTGTACTGAAATTTTTATTACTGTTAGTTGTTTTGTGGATTGTTGTGCTGTATGTTCTGCATTTTCAGATGGCTTTTAAAATTCCTTGATCAATAGGGCTTGCTGATCTGTCATCTTGTCTTGCAGAGGTCACATATTTATTGTTCTGGCGTGGCAGAAGAAGAAATTACTTCGTACATGGTGTCATGATGCTTTGTTTTTAGGAGAAAGCAACAAAGTGGCAGGAGGGCCGCGAGATTGATGGTTTAACGACTAATGGAGTGTTAATTTGGCATCCAAGAGGTGCCTTCTGTGGTGGTGAGGCTCAGCCAGGCCTTTGGCGTGAGGTGTCTGTAGGAGGCGGTATTTTCTCATTACGCCAATCACGTTCTGCTCAACAGAAGGGTGAAGTGGTGAGCCCCATTTTGTGCTGTACAGCGCTCTGCTCACGCCCCCTTGAAAGATGGTTGTATGTGTGTGTATGTGTGGGATTGCGATTGATACATGCTTGTTGATGTGAACGAGTTTTTCTCCAGGGTTCTAATAGTATTTGCTACGGAGGCATTCCTCGTCATTTCTTACATGTGAAATTCATGTATGTTCTCTTCCTCCTTTACCAATGTTTCTTCTGTTATAAAAATAAGAGTTGTGTGATACTGTTCAGCTAAATTGTTCTGAAAGTTGTTTCCTTAATTTATTGTTAAATTCTGTCACAGAGAGATATAGTCATTGTGGGAAAAGTTACTGAATGAGGTGATAAATGAGAAAATTTGCTTCCTCTGTTGGTGATGAAATGACCTACACAAGTTCACTAGAATGAAATCTGTCATCATGATTCGGAACAGAGAACTCAGTAGTGTAGGGTATTTATTACAGCAACACTTTCATATTTATATGACAAGTACATCTTGCAGGATGTAAACCACGTGCCATCACAAAGAAACTCTCAAAGGTGTAATTTGTTTTCTTGTGTCTAGCTAATGTGAGGATCTTTTTACATGTCTGGGACAATAGGTTAAAATGAAACTGTAATGCAGTGAAGCAATGTAAATGAGGTGTTATTGAAAATGTTGGATTGTCAGGAAGAAAAATTATGGAAAAGCAATGAAGAAATCACAAGGAGAAAAATGTGATGACCTAGAGGCCATGACATTGCACAATGGTTATTATAGATTGAAGCTTAATGTGCGAGTTACAACAATGTTTTCAATGAGATAATGAACATTTTTGAGAGATTTGCTGTGGTGATCATTAGTAATAATAGTAGATCACTTGATTGATTTTCACCAAAAATATGAGTGTGTTACTGTCTATATAATTACCCTACATATTCAAAAGTAATTTTTCATATGCTAAATTGTCTTAAGTGGAGAAATGCTGTAGTAAAATGTGGTGCACTTTTGTACCTGCCTGTTTATAAAAAAAAAAAACCTTTGTCTGTTCATCTAAATGATTTTGCTCGGATACATTATCTTTTGACTTGTCATTTTGAGAATTGGATATGAAGGCATTAAAAGGCTTTGGAGTTGTGGCAATGTGTTATGTTGGAATATTGACAGTTCAAATCAATTCATATTTTTTTACATTGGTAATAAAACACTCTGTAGTTAATTTTTAGGAAATACTTCTGCAAAATTGTTTCAGATTTCACTGATATAGTTTTAAAAAAGTGTAATATTTGCTTAAGAGGCTTTCAAAGGCTTACATTGAAATACAATTTTATCATTTTTTCTTGTTTCATAGTTTTGGGAGTTTAACTTTGGTGAGAATATACTTTCTGTATTTGTGAAAATGCAAATTTAATATGCAGCTTTGTGAAATGAGCCTTGTTGATTAGTAGCAGATAAAATATTTTGTTTGAATAGTTTCAGGAGAGGTTTATTGTTATAGTTACTTTTTGTTTTGCAAATTGTGAAAGTGTTTTACTGGAAGCGTGGGAAATGTATTCAAAACCTTTTCTGCATATAGAAATCTATATGTGAAAGTGATTCATTGTACAGGTCTTCAAAGGTCTGAAAATGTTTACAAAATGTGACCTTGTCTTGGCAAGTAACATGGTTGTTCAATCTTTGTTTTATAGTTTGTAGTTCTCACACAATGTAAACTGCTTGGTTTTTATGGGCTAGTACCATATTTTAGTTATAGTTGGCACCTGTGGAGAAGGGAGCAGTGTGACAACGTAGAAAGAGATGCCATGCTTTATGTATATATACATTTGCTTTGACAACATAATAATTTTTAGAATTAAATTTCTGAAGAATGCAATGGCATATTGACACAAGCTGGAGCATTTTGGTAGAATTCTTATATCTTCTTAATTGCAAGATGACTTCAACTCGGGGCAAAGCTGACTTTAACTTCAGTATTCCAATGTTAATATTCTAAGATCTATGCAGTTTGTATTTGCCATCAAAATGTGAGTAGGACAGTTGAGTGACTTGTATCAGTTCAATGTTGACAATTCTTTGCATACATTTTTCAAATTGTTGAAATGTTGATTAGTGGTATTTCATTTCACAGTCATTCAGTGTTGATTCTTTTGTGACATGTGAGACACAAGGAATTATTTTTCAGTCAGCCTCTCTTGAGCCATTCAAAACTATGATTTTGTCTGCTACGATGTGAAAAGGTCTTTCTTTGACTTGACTAATAAGGTACATTGGTAAAGGAAGAAGATGCTAATGAAGTAGTGTGGCTGATGTGACTTGGAATGACTCATCGAGTTGTGAATTCAGATCTCTAAGTTATTTATTGTGTGGTTCCAGGTAGAGGACGAAACAAATGTGCTTCGGGATGGTACGTTAATTGACCTTTGTGGTGCCACATTGCTTTGGCGATCTGCTGAAGGGTTGGAAAATTCTCCTGTAAGTAACTTTCTCATGGCTTGTGCTGAGAAAAGAACAATAATTGATTATGAATGGCAGGAAGCATGTCACATTATTCATGTGAATTGTTTATGGCTAGTTCGAAGAAATACTGTTGCTGGAGTAACTGTAAGTAGAAAACCAAATGTGAATCAATTGCCCATAAAATTCCCTAAGAAGCTTCAAGGTGCTTATTGGGAAGGGGGTACCTTAAGACTTTTTGAGAATGAGGCTGAGTGGGCCGGGAGGTCTCCTTGGCCTTTGGGGTGGAGTGCCCCCTCTGGGACTTAACTGGCAGGTGAAGCATTATGAACTGGACCATAGGCAGTTTCTAGGTAGATTCATTGCAAGTACAAAAGCATGTTACCTATTATTGTTTCTTAATATTACTGTTTTTCATAGTTTTTAACAGAAAATTGCGTCAATGTTCAGTTGGTTGAAACGTTTAATGTTAACATTTAATATTAACCAATGTTATCCTATGTCTTCTTCCGAAATTCAGTTCCAATCCGAGATGATTTTATAATCCTTAAATATTCCTATAATCTGACACCTGGTGAAGAATGCTTTCCCTTATCCTTAGCCAGTTATCCTATGATCCTTTGCATGCCACATTCATTTTCTATTAATTGATGTTGTTTGAAATGTAGCCACATCTTTATGTGATTACAGTTGTAGAACCATAATATTAAATTCTCCATCCAATCACTAATTTATTCCCTTGTCATATTAATACTTAGTCTTTAGTTATATTACTTTCTCGCTTTAGGTACCATTACTTGTAACACACTGGTAATGCATATTCTTCGATTTCTTACTTGTATGCTTTCATAATATCCACATTTGTAGAAATTAATGCTGTTCAAAAATGTTCTGATGCATACAATTAATCGTATTACCTGTGAAATACGTTTCAGAGCAGGTCTTCAGAATCACCCGACTTCTGATGCTACCTGCAAGCTTCCGCGCTCCCTTTGGATGTAACTTCTACAATGTGACCACATTTGCCGCGGAGGATTAATACAGCAGCTGCGTTAGTGCTGCTAGGCCATTGATGATTCAGCAACAAGGACAGTAGGCACAGAGGCTTCAGTAACACAGCGACGCGAGCAGAGGACCGGGCCATACATTCTCGTCGGCTTCACTCTCCCGCAGAAGACATGATGCCAGGAGGAGATCTTTCACACCAACTGTCAGGTGGCGAGGGGCAGCAATCCATCAGGGTCGGCGATTAGGTACTTTATGTACCAACGTCAGTTAACCTTTGATGAGACAATGCCTGCCCCTCAAAGTCGTGATGACCTACTGGATCCTTTTGGGAAAGATGGACAACCACAAAGATTGGGAGTCTGAAAACTCACCTAGAGGTTCAGTAGACAACACGAAAGGCTCTTGTGCTAAAAGGTGGTCATTTGAAAACCTCCCATGCTCTTTCAGTGATTCACCTTAGCCGAAGTTGCCTGCATTGCCACTAAATCCAGTGATCCTATGCTGGGTCCTAGCCACCCCTGGCCAAGGGATCCTGGTGAGGGCTGAGCCCTCGGGAGATAGCGGAGATGTCGGCAGCCGCTAGTATTCTCGCTTTCTCCGGGCTTTTAATCCAGAATCGTTGGGGAGTAGCCAACCCCAGCGTGTAGATTCTGGTAGAGGTCTATACCTCTTAGGTAAGCAAAGACGTCGGCAATTGGTGCTCAATTGCTAGTAATCTTCTTACCTAGGCTCTGGAGATGTCGGCTACGTGTCCAAGGGGACTCGTTGCTAGTATTCTCCCCTCGCTAAGTCCTCTAAGTCTGGTTCGCATCTAGAGGCACTCGAAAAATTGGCCGGTTGAGGCAGTAGCACCAGGGGAATAAGAGGGATAAGACAGTCTGTAATTCATTCAATAGTGTTTCATCGCTTTGATAGAAAATGGATTTAAAGATGTGGATTCAAGGCATGACTTTGATCAAATAAAATCAAAACAGTTCATGGTGTCAAAATGTGATTTTGGTTCTTTAGGGTGGAATAATTGGGCAAGTAATTAGTCAAAAAGTTATTGAATTCTTTTCTATTTGAGAGAATGAATATGAAGTTTTTTAGAAGTAACTATTTTTTTCATCCAGGTCATAAAAAAGCATATACAATAATTTATGATTGTTGATATTTTAAAAGTTATATTGTTTACCTATTTCTACTTAGTGTTATAATTTTACTTTGGGCACTAATTTTTTTAGTTACTCATTCTTGTCCCAGCTCGTCCTTGTTCACATGCTATGTGACAGATTTAAACCAGTAAACATTATAAAATTACTTTTTAAACATCAAATCATATTAAGAAATTTCACCTCATATTTCATAGTTATCGAATGTGAACTTCTTTAAATTGATATTCACTCATAAGTAATTATAATATTAAAAGATTTTCTTTCTATTCTCATTCAAAAAGGCAAGTAGAAAATAATATAAGTAAATATTTACACCACGTGGATGAATAAATAAATTGCGTTTGGTCTTAGGGTTACTGGGTCATTTCCATGCAAAAAAGTATGTCTTATGACCTCGATATCTTTAAATTCAAAGATACTGCAATATGTCATTTTTCCTGCCCCAAAATATCAGACATAATTTTTAAGTTATCTGTGCCATTCTAACATAACAATGAGCTTTTAAATTACTGTTTTCTGAGTGCACGCCAATGCTTATCATCAGTTTCGCCACACACAAATATTTTTTTTTTAAAACCTTATAGTATTTATCGCAAAGGAGAATATGATGTATAATCTTGCACCCAAAATTAATTTTATATTTTTAGATAATTCATAGCAAAAATGATTAAATTAATTTCAAAATGTAATGTAAACAACAAAACCAGCCTTTTTGATTTTAACAATTTTTTCCTTTAATTGCTTTAAATACATTCTTTCAACCCTGAAAGTTGGAAAGTGGAGCTTTAGAAAACACAAAAGATATAAATAGAAACAACTTTCCTTAAATAAATGAACACTGAAACCATGGTAACCATTCATACAGCACTGTTTATATCCTGTTTTTCATTTCCTGGTTGGATGTACTCCTCTTTAGTGGTTGATTTTCTCTCTTGAGTTTCTGTCCTGTCTCAGGTGTATGAACTATGCAAGTCATTTTCAATATCAAACTGTGCTGATGACATATCAAATCATCCACTACCAAATTAGGTAATTTATTACATATTTTCTGTGTCACATTTCTTCTTTCTGCATGCTTACTATGCTTTTCTAGACAAAACAGATTGCAATACTATGAAACTTATTCACAAGTTTAGACATAGTGAAGCAATTGTATTATTTTCACTGTTTGCACAACCACACCAACTATACAGAACTTTACTCACTAATGAGAACAACTCCATCACGCGTGACTTTCAGCCTTAAGCACAAAATTAATATTTGAATATCTCTGAAATGGTTCGGTGTTCCATCATGAAATTTGGGAGACAGCATAATTAAGTAATAATCTTACCCTTACCCCAAAACTGTGCGACAAAAAGGTTCTTTTTTGAATTATAAATATTTGTTTAATTTATTGTTGGTTTTCATATTTATTTAGAGTGAAAATTTTTAATAATACATTACTCATTTAAAATATAATTTATGTTTACAACGGTATATCTCTCATTTTGCTTCTATGCAGCATATGCTTTCCAGACTATTTTCATTTTACCCTAACTCTAAATTTCTCCAATACATTGTTGTAAGATAATAAGACTGTCGTATTTGCCAGTTTAACTTTTTTCTATAAAGACATTAGCTTATTTAAAATTCACTGTCATAAACTTAAACATTTTGAATGGAAATACCCTACTTTAAAGTAACTCTTTTTAAAGATACTAGGTAATGTTACTTAAGCGCCGATATTATTTTCTATTTTTGAAGATAAACTGCAGACGAAAAAACTTTATTCCCCATTAATATGTTCATTCAGAGCCGAAAATAACAAATATGGACAATTATTTAGCGACATTTGACTGCATCCACGATTCATTGTTGAGCGGAATCCGTATTTCTTTATCGTGGACCGGTTAGAAGTTTTTAGGACTGTTTATAGTTAGCGGAATGCCTGCATATTTTTCATTGCTTTAATATTTCTGTCATAAAAGTGCATATTGTGCTCCATAGCTGCACGTGCTGGCGTGTGCGATTTTTCCTTAAAGTGGAAATCATGGATCAGTGTTGGTGTTCGTTGTATGCGACGTTCCCTCAGTTTCGCGAAGTTTGTACAAGGCTGATGTAGGCGTAGGCGAGGACGCCGAACAGCCTTTGTTTGTCGTGTTGACGTTCAATGGAAGTGCTTGTGGGTGGGGAGCGTGTGGCCGACGTCTGTGCTCTCCAGAAGCGCGCAGAGAGCGTAAACCTGACTGACACAAAACAAAAACAAAAATAAGTTTAAAAAAATTCTTGTTTCTGGAACGAGTTAGATGTTCTCGCGCCTGTTGAGTCGACCGCGTGCTCACCCTTCGCTCGGAGCTATACTAAATGTATTGAGTAGCAAACTACCAGGAAGGAGGTGTTTTTCTCGATAAGTAGGGAAAGCGTCCCTTACTAGCACTCTAGGCGTGGCTTCTTGGCCGTGCAACGTGTAACTGATGCTAAGTGATTTGCGCTCTACTGCACAAGAGTTGTCAATATTTTCCACGTGAAGTTTAGGAGATCGGTAAGTAGTAAGCCCCTCATTGAAAATATATTTTTGAAGTGATGTGTTGAACGATGAAGGATCAGTGAGAATAAACTTTTGTACTCCAGATTGAGTTGAAAAGTCTCTAGACTGAGGGTCACGGTTGTCCCAATAATAATTGGGGCGTTAGGAGCCCTACCCGGAAACCCAACGAAACACCAGCACATCGTGAACTTTCCCTTTTTACCTCCCAAAAGTCGCACTGCCGGCCACTCCTCGCAAACTGCGAAGAACACTAATAACATTCAAATGGATAATTGATAATTACAATTTTCGAGATGTCAAAGATGAAATACAAATAATTTAAAAGACGAAAGGAAACATCTTGGACGTGTGTTCAATCAACATCGGAAATAATATATGCGCTTTGCCCATTGACCTTGATAAGCGGTCCCGGCTATTGTCACGTGACGCCCGGGACACTAATCACATCTGTTGCGATTATCAGCGTTACTGAGCTCGGTTCGGTAAACGAGGCTTCATAACCTGTACCGAATCGGTTACCGGTTATACTTGCCTTGGGTTCTTAATGTGTTTTAGAAAAGTAGATTCAATCATGGTGAACAAACTTCGGCTGCGGTTTTCTGCAAAAGATTATGTAT